CTCCCCCAGCCAGTGTCAGGATGGGTGCTAGGATCAGCACCTAGCGTCTCCCCAGCCAGTGTCAGGATGGGTGCTAGGATCAGCACCTAGCGTCTCCCCAGCCAGTGGCAGGATGGCTGCTAGGATCAGCACCTAGCGTCTCCCCAGCCAGTGTCAGGATGGGTGCTAGGATCAGCACCTAGCATCTCCCAGCCAGTGTCAGGATGGCTGCTAGGATCAGCACCTAGCATCTCCCAGCCAGTGTCAGGATGGGTGCTAGGATCAGCACCTAGCATCTCCCAGCCAGTGTCAGGATGGCTGCTAGGATCAGCACCTAGCGTCTCCCAAGCCAGTGTCAGGTTGGATGCTAGGATCAGCACCTAGCGTCTCCCCAGCCAGTGTCAGGATGGGTGCTAGGATCAACACCTAGCGTCTCCCCAGCCAGTGGCAGGATGGGTGCTAGGATCAGCACCTAGCATCTCCCCAGCCAGTGTCAGGATGGGTGCTAGGATCAGCACCTAGCGTCTCCCCAGCCAGTGTCAGGATGGGTGCTAGGATCAGCACCTAGCGTCTCCCCAGCCAGTGGCAGGATGGATGCTAGGATCAGCACCTAGCGTCTCCCCAGCCAGTGGCAGGATGGGTGCTAGGATCAGCACCTAGCGTCTCCCCAGCCAGTGTCAGGATGGGTGCTAGGATCAGCACCTAGCGTCTCCCCAGCCAGTGTCAGGATGGGTGCTAGGATCAGCACCTAGCATCTCCCCAGGTGCGCGTTGATGCATGCTGGGAGGTGGTTGTGCGCGCTATTCTACCCACGCGGTGAATGCATGTTGGCGGGAACCCACTGAGAGGATTATAGGATTGAAAGAGCCAGGTCAGAATATTGTGTGAACTTTAATATATTCTGGTGTCCCGTGTTCTGGTGGGGGGGGGGGGGTGTCGCGTGTTCTGGGGGGGGTGTGTGTCCCGTGTTCTGGGGGGGAGGGGTGTGTCCCGTGTTCTGGGGGGGGGGGGGGCGTGTCCGTGTTCTGGGGGGGGGAGGGGGTGTGTCGCGTGTTCTGGGGGGGGGGGGGGTGTCGCGTGTTCTGGGACGGGGGGTTTGTCGCGTGTTCTGGTGGGGGGGGGGGGGTGTCGCGTGTTCTGGGGGTGTGTGTCGCGTGTTCTGGGGGGGGGTGTCGCGTGTTCTGGGAGGGGGTGTGTGTCGCGTGTTCTGGGAGGGGGGGGTGTCGCGTGTTCTGGGGGGGGGGGGGTGTCGCGTGTTCTGGGAGGGGGGGGTGTCGCGTGTTCTGGGAGGGGGAGTGTCGCGTGTTCTGGGAGGGGGGTGTGTCGCGTGTTCTGGGAGGGGGAGTGTCGCGTGTTCTGGGAGGGGGAGTGTCGCGTGTTCTGGGGGGGGGTGTGTCGCTTGTTCTGGGAAGGGGGTCGCGTGTTCTGGGAAGGGGTGTGTCGCGTGTTCTGGGAGGGGGGTCGCGTGTTCTGAGGGTGTGTGTCCCCCGTGTAGTGATGACGGGGTCTCAGAGTTACCATCTGGGAAGAGGGCTCCAGGCTTGACATGTGTCTTCAGTTATACGTATTGAAACCAGGCAGTACAGAGATGGTTTAACTGTTAACTGGCTGTGGCAGATTGTTGTGTATGATGGCGGGCCCTTTGATTTAGTGCCGCCTCGTTAATGATGGCCTAACAGCTCATTCACAGCTTGTTAAATACCACAGGTTGGGTGGAACTTGTTTTAATATTTGTATTATAGCAGAGGGCATGAAGCAGTAGTGTGTGTGTGTGTGTGTGTGTGTGTGTGTGTGTGTGTGTGTGTGTGTGTGTGTGTGTGTGTGTAGGACCGAGCTCTTAGCTCTTGGACCCTGCCATTATAACCATCGGTTGTCTAATATACTGACGACCTAATTTTTTCTTATAATATCTATTACACCTCTCTCTCCCCTACCCCCCCATACCCCCCCTACCCCCCATACCCCCCCTACCCCTTGTCCTGCGTGTGCGCGCGCGCGTGTACACAGGAATTAACAGGACAGGTAAAGACGTACTATTTAACACGGGTGGTAAATAAAATACAGGACACGTGCGGAAGTTAAGCATCAAATGAACCACAGAGACAGTGGAAGGAATTTCAGTGTCAGAGTAGTTAACAGGTGGAATGTATTAGGCAGTGATGTGACGGAGGCTGACTCCATACATAGTTTCAAGTGTACATATGATAGAGCCCAGTAGGCTCAAGAATCTGTACATCAGTTGATTGACGGTTGTGAGACGGGACCAAAGAGCCTAAGCTCAACCTCCACATGTACAGTTAGCTTAGCTTAACTAGGCGAGAGTATGCTTATGTATACTGTGCTTGAGTATGCTTATGTATACATGCTCAGAAACGTGTTCATGAGTAGACTCACTTAGCGTCACTCATCCCTTCACTCAAAGAAGTTGCATTCAACTGAACTAGTGGAGAGTAATATTCTGGTGTGCCGTGGTAGCCTACATGTGTCGTGAACTAGGAGACATGATCGCAACATTGACGATACTCAATACTTAAGTTAAGTGAGAGGACTTGGGTGAGAGTTGAGTCTAGTTGGTATATAATGAAGTGTATGTGTGTAAGGGCAGTGTGGGTTGTTTTAGGAAGATGGTGAACATCATGTTACTTCACTACATGATGTTCTTTCATCATGTCAACTTGATGAGAGAACATCTCTACCCGTCGCGTTAGGGAGCCGGTCGGCCGAGCGGACAGCACGCTGGACTTGTGATCCTGTGGTCCTGGGTTCGATCCCAGGCGCCGGCGAGAAACATCGGGCAGAGTTTCTTTCACCCTATGCCCCTGTTACTTAGCAGTAAAATAGGTACCTGGGTGTTAGTCAACTGTCACGGGCTGCTTCCTGGGGGGTGGAGGCCTGGTTGAGGACCGGGCCGCGGGGACACTAAAAAAAAAGTCCCGAAATCATCTCAAGATAGATAAGAAGATAACCCATCAACATCGATGTCTATACTTAATTCCATTTTCCCCTTTCCTTTCTACGTACATGTTACCCTCAGTTTGAATTACTTTACCATTCTCCCTCTCCTGTTCCATCGTCGTTACTTTGGCCATTCTCTTTCCCACGTTAATTCACCCTCTCCCCCACTTCCCATTCTCTTACTTTCACTATGACCCGGAACTCGTTACAGAAAACGGGTTATTTTATGGGTAGACTCGCATGTCTTCTCTACAATAGTTCGCTTGACTGATCCCTTTCCCATAGGCTGGGACAGGTAAGCTGTTAGACTTAAGGAGGTTCTACCCTAGGCTGAAGGGTAGAACTGACCTTCATGACGCCATCCACAACAGTTGCCTAACTCCCAGGTACCTATTTACAACTCGGTGAATACTGACGGATTCAACCGATAGTGCAACAGTAATCAGTCATTTAATTTTGTTTCAGGTGTGTAAGTCGGGGTTATTCAAACCTTTTTGGCAGTAAATAGTTGGCCCAACATGTAATTCATTATGCAGGCTCGACATGTAAATCTCTCCGTAGATTTACAGTCTGCTGTAAATGACAATTTTATTTATGAATGGAAATTATTGCTAATGGGTTATAAAGGAAAAACATTTTGCATCAATTATTTGTTTGTTGAAAGATGTGAATAACCCGACCTACATAGAAAATGTTTGTGGGGCGTTTCGGTCTTTGCCAAGTCTCATCTTGATGGACCGAAACGTTGACACCTCTCGGGCACATTCTGACTTACAGCCAGAGTCAGTCTTGACCGACGGCCTTGTAGCCAGTCAGTCTTATGCACCTGTGTGGCTATTGCCACCTGTGCTGCTATACACACCTGTGCGGCTGTACACACACCTGTGCGGCTATACACACCTGTGCGGCTGTATACACCTGTGTGCGGCTATACACACCTGTGCTGCTATACACACCTGTGCGGCTGTACACACCTGCGCGCGGCTGTACACACCTGTGCGCGGCTATACACACCTGCGCGCGGCTATACACACCTGTGCGCGGCTATACACACCTGTGCGCGGCTATACACACCTGTGTGCGGCTGTACACACCTGTGCGGCTATACATCTCTAACCTGTAACATAATTTTAGGTTCGTTAGTGCTCTTGTGATGGTCATGAAGTGCGATTATGTCTAGCATGTGAAGCTCTTCAACAACTCGAGCGGAATAATTCATCCCATGTTTATTTACTCACCAAAATAGGGAGCTTTTTCAATGCAAATAATTCATAATGATTTAAATATTGCATATTAATTCCCAAACTAATTTCTGATTCATTTTTGTCATTTGTAGTGCACAGAGCTAAATGATTTTAAGTGATTTTTGGTAACGTAGGTTCAAGAGTTAATTTTGGTAACGTAGGTTCAGGAGTTAATTTTGGTAACGTAGGTTCAAGAGGTAATTTTGGTAACGTAGGTTCAAGAGTTAATTTTGGGTTTCCTACATAGGTTCAAGAGTTAATTTTGGTAACGTTGGTTCAAGAGTTAATTTTGGTAACGTAGGTTCAAGAGTTAATTTTGGTAACGTAGGTTCAAGAGTTAATTTTGGTAACGTAGGTTCAAGAGTTAATTTTGGTAACGTAGGTTCAAGAGTTAATTTTGGTAACGTAGGTTCAAGAGTTAATTTTGGTAACGTAGGTTCAAGAGTTAATTTTGGTAACGTAGGTTCAAGAGTTAATTTTGGTAACGTAGGTTCAAGAGTTAATTTTGGGTTTCCTACATAGGTTCAAGAGTTAATTTTGGTAACGTAGGTTCAAGAGTTAATTTTGGTAACGTAGATTCAAGAGTTAATTTTGGGTTTCCTACATAGGTTCAAGAGTTAATTTTGGTAACGTAGGTTCAAGAGTTAATTTTGGTAACGTAGGTTCAAGAGTTAATTTTGGGTTTCCTACATAGGTTCAAGAGTTAATTTTGGGTTTCCTACATTTGAGTGTGTTTAGCGTATAGTTACGTCTAATACTTAATAGCGTATATTTACGGTGGGTTTTTGTAATGTATATTAAATAGTGATTTCTTTGTTTCAGCCCCGGCACTCTGCCAAACTGCTAGGAGTGCTCCGGCAGATGCCCAACCGCTCTGGCCCTGATGTCTTCTTCTCCTTCCCTGGCAAGAAGGGCTCGGTGAGTAGACGACTTCTCTTCTCAGCGGGCGTAGGGTGAAGACTTTCAATAGGTGTTTTACAGCCAGGGTCTTAATTACTGCTGGGTGCACAGGGGCGAACACTGGCGCATTGGTATCTTTTGTCGTCGTGCCTCTGGCCAGTGATCGAACCCCGACCATATTGCCTTCATCCATCTATCCCTGCTTCATTATCCATCCTTGCCTCCCTTCATTGTCCCCTCCTGCCTCCCTTCTCTCGCCCGTCTTGTCTTCCCTTTCTCCCAATCTTACTTTCTCCCCCCCCCCTCCTCTCCCCCTTCGTACTTCCCCCTCTCCCCCCATCTTACCTCCCTCCTCCCTCTCTCTCCCCTCTCCGCCACCCTCGTATTTCCCCTCACCTGTCACCGCCAACCCTCAACATAACCCTTGCAATCTTGCAGCCTCGACCACGCTAAAATATAAATGTGGAAGTCATTGCTAGCGGGTGTTGCAGCAAATGGTATGTCGTCCTGGTCATGGCAGGGATGTAATTGTTTAGCATTGGCCAGTAGTTATTACTCTAGGCTTTACGGTGTACGAGTATTAGAATGTGGGCTAGTTTAGGCCTTATTTAGGCCTCGCACAACTAGCCCCAAACATCGGCTTACGTTGTGACATCAATTTAAGGCACCTAAAATGGAAATTGCAGGAAATGCCGTTATATCGGGGCGATTCCCAGGAAGTTGTGTAAATAAATAGTCAGGCAAATGACCTCTTGCGCATGTGTCATGTTTGACCTAAACCGGCAAATGTTGGGGACACGAGAGACATCTCCCGTCACGCAGGGCGCAGTCGCACCTCCACAGATCTCCAGTATCATCTATTGATACTGGTAATGGCTCAAAAGGGCCACCACTTACGGGCTATTCATGCCCGTGCCACCTTTTGGGTGGCTTAATCTTCATCAGTCAAACGGTGGGGACCTATTGGAAAACACCCTTTACCTTATTGTCACGAAGTGATGAACTAGTTAGGAGCCACAGTGCTTACAGACACAGGTTACTCACATGACAACATAATCAAAGTTGGCTGTTGTTGTTGTTGTTATAGATTCAGCTACTCGGAACAAGTTCCAAGTAGCACGGGATATGGTGAGCCCGTAACTTACCTGGCACAGGAGCGGGGCCAGTAGCACGGGCTATGGTGAGCCCGTGGTGGACTTACCTGGCACAGGAGCGGTGCTGAATGCAAAGTTGACGCTAGCATGGGCACTAGTACTGTGCGGACAGTCTTATACCACAGAGGTGGAGGAGAATTAAGCAGACTCAATTTTACTAGTAAATTAACTAGCCTCGCAGAAATAAGCTGAGAAGAAGAGATAAATAAGGAAATCTAAATCAGTGTTTCAAGGAAATAGGCAAGGTAGCACTACATATATCCCACTAAGAACAAAATTGGAACGAAAACGGCGTCCCCTCTCTAGGCGAAGAAAGAGAAATTACGGAACTACTCTACCACATGACCGACGGGGGAGGTTATCTCTCTCTCCTAAGAGAGTTATCTCTCCTAAGTTATCTCTCTCTTCCTAAGGGAAGTTTATGTAGAGAAATAACAATTATCGAGCAAAAACAACAGAAAGCATAAATTCCAGGAGAGAGAAAAAGAGCAAAAGGCCATCAGTGAAATAGAGAGAAATACAAAATACTTATTTTTTGCAAAAATCTATACCATAAATTACATCTAACATTGAGCCCCTACACAAGGGTTATCTTGAGGTTATCTTGAGATGATTTCGGGGCTTTTTTTTTTTAGTGTCCCCGCGGCCCGGTCCTCGACCAGGCCTCCACCCCCAGGAAGCAGCCCGTGACAGCTGACTAACACCCAGGTACCTATTTTACTGCTAGGTAACAGGGGCATAGGGTGAAAGAAACTCTGCCCAGTGTTTCTCGCCGGCGCCTGGGATCGAACCCAGGACCACAGGATCACAAGTCCAGCGTGCTGTCCGCTAGGCCGACCGGCTCCCTGCTCGGCCGACCGAGGGTGGTGAAACTTTCACACGTGACAACAAAGAAATAAGTGAAATGTTGAGGATGCAGAACGAATCTGTTTTCAGTGACTCACTGAACGCTCTGTACACCGATAACACAGAGGAATTATTAATGAAAGTGATTCCAACATCTATCCATATATCAGACGTTGACCGTACTGGACTCAGTTAACTGACAGTTGAGAGGCGGGACCAAAGAGCCAGAGCTCAACCCTCGCAAGCAACATTAGGTGAGTACTTTGAGGTAGCAATAATCAACATGTTCATGCACTCCACACCAGGCCCTGATTCCTAGAATTCCCCAAAAATAACTTTGAGGCCCTAAATACCATTTGGAACGGAGCCTAGATACAGGTGTTATCCCAGACATACTTAAAACAGGAGAGATTGCATCACTTCTAAAGGAGGTAATATAGCAGGCACCAAAAATTATAGGCCAGTAGCACTAACATCACACATCATAAAATCTTTAAAAGTGTGTTGTAAGCCGACCTGTTGCCATTTATTTTAAATCGCACACACTAGTAAACTTTTACCCCCAACTGTCTTTGCTGGGGAAAGGTAGTTTTAATAATAAATGACTTACAAAGGTTTAGGAGTATTGAAACAATGACTAAAAGTTTAAACAGGTGTATTTAGGGAACACGGACAGGAAATAGTCAATACATGAACAATAAATAATGAAGCTGCAAGTTAACTGTTCCAGTCTAGGCAACTGGTGGTAATTAACACAATAACACAATATCCAACACCGACTTAACTACACAAGCAACATTAATTACACACTTGATCAACCAGCGTCTCTTTAGACCATAGAATGATTCACTATATAGTTGACCAATAAATTATCCTTTGATAATTATTCAAGTAATTATCACAGTCTGTTCACTAAAGAGAATCACTGCCTGACATATTAAACACTGCTTAACAGAAGAAAACAGTAAGGAACTACTTAACGGGAATTAGTAGTCCCGAAACAGTAGGTCCCACTCCCTAGTGGACCAAACTCTCACAAGTCAAGCCTGGCCTAGGACCAGGCTTGGGGAGTAGAACTACTCCCAGAACCCCATCCACCAGGTATCCACCAACCGACTACCTATTTAAGGAGCTGCAGAGCTGGGCTCCCAGACCCCTAGACAGTGTTGGCCTATCACTGTCTAACATCTTTCCTGCTAATCACAACTAAAACGTATCTCTGGCAAGTGTAGAACGGTCAGCTTTTACATTAATCCCATAAACAGTTAATTCTGCACAGTCTCCTTGCTGGCTGCCTTAACTAAAGATATTGGTGTTGGAAGTTCATACTTGGGCAGTCTCATCAGCCGACTGTTGGTACTGGTTGATTTTAAGTTAAATTTTCCTCAGAGGAAATCTGTTGACGATAATATTATTTCTAAAACATATTGATGGAGTGTGCTGGGTGGACTCCAATATAACAATCAGTATGCAAATAATACTGCTTGCAACATGTTTAAAACAGGACATACAGACTGAATTATATTCTATTGTTTTCAGAACAGCAATGTGTGCTTTTAGTTTAATTTGAATAAGCTTTTCAACTTCACTGTTGCACGTGCAACATGCAAATTAACTATCAATTGCACCATGCCTCGTTATGGTTGTTGTCGTTAGTTTAGGGGTGAGGACGACCAAGGGATCGGATGCACCCCGGCCTATCCTTTAAGGGTAAATTGCAAAGCCTAATGGCTAAAGGAACGTCGCTTGGTGGTGGAAACAAATGCGCCTTGCAGCGGGTAAATACTCTAATGGGCAGAAGATTGGGGAGCTCCAGGAGTCCCTCAGGAAGTCACACCTGCACAGCCGCACACAGAACACTGGTAGCTAAGCAAAAAACACGGCCCCTCTTCTAAAACGCATAATGTTTTCCAGTGTTCCCAGGTAGAGCAGAAGCCGGCCCCTACGACGCCCCCAGGGGCACACCGGGAGCTCACGACGCCCCCAGGGGGCACATCGGGAGCCCACAGCCTCATATGGGACATAGACAAGGCCACAAACTATAGTACTGTAACATCCTATCAAGAAGACACTAGGATTTTTATGAGAGTAGACACTAGAGAGAGGACACAGCAAACCTCCAAACTGATGTAAATCAGGTCTTCTAATTGACCACAGAAAATCGTATGATTTTTAATGACGAAGAGTTCCAGCTGAAGTGCTATGCTAAACCCGAAAAAAATAAAAATGGAAAACACAATGGAAAGAACAAGACATATACAAGATTTGGGAATAATCATGTCAGAAGACCGCGCTTTTAAAGCATACAATAGAACAGCTGTCACATCTGTAAGAAAAATGACAAGCTGGAATGACCCTGAATGTTGACAGATATAAATGTTATAACATTTGTGAATGGGCTGTGTATTTTATTTGGTGTTAATATTTTTGGTTCTGGAAGAGGGATGCAACTGTGTTCTGTCTGGTATTTGAGAGTTGGTGGTAGAATTTTGTCATTTCTAACTAATCTTCTTATCTTTCTCTTGACAAAAAAGCCTCATCGGTATGGAGGATTATGACTGCTTCAGTAATGGCTGTTCTGACATTCAGTTGATTTTGTTCGTCAGATTACTCTGATAAGAATTTTAGGCGTCAGGAATCAGTCATAGTATTTTAGTAATCAGAGGAATCATAGCATAGTCACAGTTATCAGTCATAACATTCGTTTTACTTAGTGAGCTTTTACACATATTTGGGTGGGAAAATATTCAATATTTACCTATATTGAGAGTATTCCAACATTTTATATGGTGCTGATATTTGCATATTCCATTAGCTCTAACTAAAAGCCCATATTTGCATATACCACATGAATAATATCAGCAGATATAAAATTTCTGTTTTTCTCTTGTCTTCACGTCTTCACCTAAATTTTGGGAGCCGGTCGGCCGAGCGGACAGCACACTGGACTTGTGATCCTGTGGTCTCGGGTTCGATCCCGGGCGCCGGCGAGAAACAATGGGAAGAGTTTCTTTCACC